GTATGCCCAAGGAGCAGCCATTGAACATAGCCAGCCAGCAGAATGTAATGTGAAGCACAGCCCGTGCCAGGTGCCATGTGGCACAGCAACCAGCGTGCCACCTCCTCCATGCCCTGCTCAGTGGCAGGGCTGAGCAAGGGGTTCCCTGTGCTGCGACACCCCACAGCACATTTGTTTTGGCAGCACCACCAAGGAACACAAACCTCAGACAAGCCAAGGGGCGAGGGCAAGAGAAGGGCAGAAGCATTCCTTCAGCTTTACCAGGGGCTTACTTTTGTCTTCTACACATGAAGCAGCACCGCCGGAGTGCTGGCAGCGCTGCCAGCTCTGAATTGTGTGTGAGCACAGTTTGCATTATTTAGTAGACATGCATATTTACCATCCTAAGCTTTATATCTTACTTAGTCCCATGACAGAAATATACATACAAAAAATCTTCCTGACTATGGTACTGAATGTTAACTTGGTTATTTTTCCTTTGCTAACAGTCAAATATTAAAAATACCATGACAAATGATGATGTTTCTCCACTTTCTGTTAACTATTTCCACCTCTCATGTACTGAGAAATGTGTTTAACAGGCAACTGAACCTATCTGAACTACATGTAGCTCAAGAAGGGGAGGGTAATGTTGAACCAGCAGTGACTCCCAGCTCTGCACAGTCGTCTTCAGTGGTGGTGGCTGCACTGAGAGCAGTCCTGTGCAGACAGGAGTAGGGGAGCAGTACAAACCCAGTGAATCCAGCGAGACACCATCAGTGGGCTCTGGCCCAAACTGCAGTGCAGCAGCTGTGCTCTGCCTTAGGAGTAGCCTTTTGGTTTTCCCCTCCTACTGAGAAAAAGACAATCCTGTCATTAGAATAAGTGTTCTGGCTCTTCTTCCTGATTCTCAAAGGATTTAAGTAATTTTAAAGGGAAAATTAATAATATGGTGGCATCTGCATGTTTGCTTATTGATGCCAGCCCCATGCATGAGCTTTCCAGACCCCACCCTGGCAGAGCTGTGTATCTGTTCCAAGTCAGGATGCTGTGTGGGTCTTTCAGTGCTTCTACAGATGGGATGTGGTCAGGGAATGGAGGGAGATGGAAGCCAACAGTCTCTTGTACCTACACTCCTATTTGTACTAAAGCCATGCAGTGTCACCCTCCATGTTCTCCACCCACCAGGAAGGGAACAAAACCTGATGTATTGAAGATGGGATTTGTCTGGTATGTTGTTTGGGGTTTTTTTTTGCCTCAACATGTGTTGTAAAACTAATCCTACATTAGCAAACTCTCATATTAGGCCATTCCTTATAGGAATGAAGCAAGGGAAATGGAAAAGTTACACTTTATTTTAATAAAAATATAAAGCTTTGTTGCTGACTCTCTGTGTCTGATGGTTTAGGTGTGGAGGGAGGTGGTGTTTTGCTGTACTGATGTGAAATAACTCGTGTTACTTGCTGCTGAGCACTGCAGGAGATGGAGGCAGCAAATCTGAGCCCCCCTACCCTGCAAGATGCACCTGGCTCAGCAAAGCCCCAGCTGTGCTGAACTGCAGGGCAAACCAAACGCAGGGGCCCACGCCAGGGTTCTGCCCATCCTTCATGGCCCAGCAGCACCAGGAACACATCTGGTCCTTGTGCTAGAGAGGAGGGCCAAGGGCTGGTGGTGCCTGGGCTGACTCAGACTCCTGGCAAAGCAATGCCAGCACTGGGTTGCTGTGACTCAAGAAAGATTTTAATTTTATTGGGTTTTTTTTATTCCCAGTGCAGACATTTCTTTCATTAAGGATTATTAAGGTCTGACATCAGGGATCCAGCTTTGGAGCCAGCTGACTGCAAACCAGCAAAGGGAGCAGTGGCTGGGGAACAGTGTGGCCTGGTGCTGAGGAGCAGCACTGCATCTTCTGGTGGCATTCAGATGCTCAGTCTTAAGGTGGCACCTGACAGGCTCACTAGGTGGACTCACAAGTTCACTCCTCATGGTGATTTGGCTCATGCGCACCGGGTGTGCTTCATGCTCCGTCTCCAGTGTGAATGAAGTGACCGTGGCTAGTGCATATGGAAGGTGCAGAATGCATCTCCTTGAGGTGGTGAAGCCCAAAAACTGCAAGCACCCTTACCTAACTACTAGAAAAGCCATGCTGGAGTTGACATCCTTGCACAATGAAGAGTTTCACACTTGCAGTGCTAGCAAATAGCCATAAATCAATGCATATTTTAGCTTTGCAGCATGAAAAAAACCGTGCTGGGACAGCAAACTGCAGCTCAGCAGCTGCGTAGAAAAACAAACTGATGACACATGCCATATTGCTGCTGTTCTCCATCAAGTTGCTATTGTCCTACAATAGTGAGATCTTTGTATTTTTCAAAAGGCACATAATTAATTCCAGTATGCACAGAGTTTTAATAAAGTGACAAAACCCACTCATTGTCTCCTAGTCAAAGCCTGGCTTTTAATAAAGTTTCATTTTATCTATTGGGATGACAGATGAGGAAACAAATATAAACCAGGAATCTTTTAAACAAATTATTTTTGGAAGCTATACAAAGTTGTGATGCACACATTGCCAGACATAAAAGACACTCAGAGGAGAATAAATTTCACCCAGGGCAGCCGTTGTTATGGGTGATGCTTATTGCTTTTGATCAGCTGCTGGAGAATGTTTTGTTGTATATAGTGGTTGGGGTTTTTTGACACAGCACACAGATGATTTTAAGGCCATTTATCTCTAACTATAATAAATGCCACACTGCTGTCTGCAGGCACAGCAGTGCCACCAGGTAGTTATACCTGTTTCTTCGAACAACTAAGTGCTTCATGATTGTAGCACACTAGTTTTGCCTCAAGGAGAAAGAAAAGGAAAAACGTATTTCTCTCTTATATGGGATAAAGACTCGAAATGTGAGCAAAGCCACCTCTTCTACATGTTCCACCTACACATCCACCATGCAAGGATCTAGACCTACAAATTCTGGCAGCTGGCAACACCAGTCATGAAAACCATAGCTTAGGAGAGTTAAGGATGTGTTAATTGGTAAAGGGACAGAGATGAAGGGAATGGCACAAAGTCAAACACAACTTGGGCTCATACAGTGCATGTGCACAGCCACTTCTATGGCACAGCAGCCTCAGTTAAGAAAAAGCAGTAATGTAAAGAAAAATGTGATGCTGGTGTCATCTCCTCAACTGTAAGCCAGACAGAGGCTGCAGTCCCACACTGCTGAGGCCAGAACAGGCAGAGGCTATGGCAGCCTCACAGCAGATGCTTCAGGGGACAAAGGATCCTTGGCACCTACAAGCCACAGCCTTAAAGGACTATGAAGCCTTGGCGTGGAAGAGGACAGAGGCAGGTAGAGAAATCCAGTGTGGTGCTGCTGGCCCATCTGTGGCCGCGTGAAGCCCCTCAGTCTCCCAGCCAGCACCTACCAGAGCCAAGTGCACATAAGCCGGGACACAGAAGAGCAGGAGGGGGCTCTGAAATGCTGTGTTTGCTGTCAGTGCATTTCTAGATGCTGACAGCCCCTTGGAACTGGCTGCTTTACAAGGCTTTTTACAGGCCTGCCCGTGCCCCAGGGTGACCCTCACATTATGTTCTAGTCCCCATCTTTTATTTACTGCTGTTGGCACAGGTACCCAGGTAGTGTTTATTTATTGGCACACTGCTCACTCTCATATTGATGTCTTCTTTCTTACAGAAAGCCTCCAACAAAGCTACAGTTGTCAGTCAGGTCCTTGAAACCTGCTTGGCTCTCAAGCCTGAGGATCGCAATCAGATTTAACAAACAGAACATAGTACCAAATGTGATCTTATTTTATGTCTTAAATTTTTTTAATTGCACCTAACTGCATGCATCTCAAACATCTAACAATGAAATTTCTCCCTCCCTGGAGTCACAGTGCAGACCACTGCTTGCCATGCAGAGCAGAGGGAGAGATTTGCCCTGAGGGAGGCCTGTGGCAGCACTGCACCAGCCAGCAGTGCTGGGCTGGTGCAGCACCCAGAGATGGGGTTCCCCATTGTTTCCTTTGGGGCCAGCCCCACCACTGGCTGCCCCACAGTGAATGCCAAAGCAGCAGCCAGTAATACCAGCACTGGCTGGGAGAGAAGGTGCAGGCACTGCAAGTGTTGATCGGGCTTGACTGCTGTGAGAACTGCTTGGGTCTCCACTGCCAGCAGACTGCAAGAGAGCAGGCAGGGCTTACTCCCCACCCTCATATTCCTCCTCTTTTCCTACCCATTTTGCTGATTTACCTTCATGTTTTGGTTTTCCTTCTATCCCTTCCCTTCAGGAGTATCCCCTTTCAAACCGTTATTTGACCAAGCTCAGTCTGCCCCACATCTCCTCTCGCCCTGCCCAACCCTCTCTCCTACACCTCCAGCCCTCTCTCCTCCCCAGCTCCCCTTCTGCAACTCCTGCCGCATGGCACACAGCAATAGCAAACCACCTGTCCATGCCAGAGCAGCCCAACATCCTGGATCAGCAGCCTGGCAGGATCCAGGAGGTGCACAGCAGCTGCAAGGCTCCTCCTGACAGCCTTGGCTTGTTTTCCCATCCAGAAGGAACAGGGAGGGTGGTTAAGACTTCTCTTAGAACAGTAGCTGGCCATGAGATGACAGACTCAATGTCCTCATCTTCTGTGCAGAGGCTGCCAAAAGCACATCCCTCATCGGTATCCTATCTTCAACCTCATTCTGCAGCCCGCATGATACAGGGTCCCTTTAAAGCTATGTAATAATCTGTTAGTAATTTGGTTTTTACTGTGAGCATTGCAAACACAAGTTATGTGGTCTCAATGGTTAAATTTACCCTGGTATGTATGGAAGAGCAGGGAACAGAAATCCAGAATCCCTGCTGTGCATCATGACTTCAGGACAATTTCTGCCTTGTGGTTACTCACCCATCAGAAGGAAAAACCATGCTAGTTATTTGTATCAACAATGCTCCTGACAAGAAGATTTATAAGAAGAGTTAAGAAGCACACATTTTGTACAAATGAACAAAACAAAGCAACACTGCAATTTATATATAATAGGCAAATTTTATTAAAAAAAACATTGCAACTGACAGAAAAAATAAAGTCTGTGAAATGTGCCATACATTCAAAGAGATGTATTTAAAGAAAGCGATTTCTTATTCTCTGAGGTGATCATTGAAACAGGTACTTCCTGACGATTAGAGAACAAAACAAAAGTTCTGTAACACTTTGTCCCTAAAGTACCTTGCAAGAAGTTCTAGAGTTCCTGGCCAAGAGTCCTACTTGCTAAATGCCACATACAAAAGATGACTTAGACATGGTTTCACTGGCTTCTCTTCCAGCATTTGCTGCTCTGGTGTAAATGAGACTGGTCCGCAGAGCTCGCTGGTTTAGGTACTGGTGACAGATTCAAGAATCCGCCCAAGGAAGAATCCCAAAAGGAAGAAGCAGAAATTGTTTTATCCTCAATAATATCTGTAGTTCAAAGCCAAAGAGGTGGCCAAAAGTGTGCACTCCCAGTGAAGCTATAACATACCAAAGTATGTTTCTTATGAACCAGAAATTTCTTGCATCCCTGTTTTGCAGAATATTAGAAAAAGACCACCAAATACAAAAATCTTACCATTACAAGTTATTAAAAAAACCCTTCAGACAATTAAAACACACAACAAAGTGTTTGTTTTCTAACAGTAGAAATACAATCCTCATTAAAGCAGCATACTGGAGAAGCCAGTTGTTACATTTTCAATTAAAAAAGACAAAAGCCCAGATGTTCTTGTAGCACAACCAGAACATTGGAGAAAAGAGAGGAACAAAACATTCATAGTCTGCCATGCTGAGTACATTGTCTTTGTAAGGTCACTTCAGGCCTAGAAGAGTATGGTATTGAACAAAGAGCAGGGAGTCAGTGCCTGGGCACAGTGTGACTCCCCTCCACTGGACAGTTTGCCACCAATCCAGACAGTCCAGACTCAAATCATGAGGTTCCCAAAGAAAGCGCGGTAGGGCAATTATCTGACTTACACACTGAAGTCATCAAACCTCAGACTTGCTGCCACTGCTAAGAAAATACAAGCTCTTGGGCTATTCTTAGAGAAAAAATGATTCTGCAAAATCTGTCCAACACCTTTCCTGTGGCCAGACAGGACTCACCCAGCAGAGGGAGGAAGCCTCATGAAGGAAGCAGCAACACAGCTGTTCCTGGGACCGAGGGCATTGCTACGGCCTCCTCACATCACCCGGGGCAGTTTCATGACAGCAGTGTCACAACAGGAGCCCAGGGGCTTGGTCACAGCCCCACGGGTCCACACCACCAGCAGCTGCATGTCACAGACAGAGTATGGTGACCTGTGCTGGCTAATGGCCTTTAGAGACAACATCTACATGAACTCTGCTCTTTCAGTCCCTCTCAGTACAGCCTGCTTATTCTTCTAAAAGAGAAAAACCTCTTCTTTAAGAGCCTAACAGTTCACAACAGTAAAAGGAAAACATGGACCCCTTCCTTGTTGGGCCAATGCAGGAAACACCCCAAAACACAACCTGGCTCTTGTTTGGCATTGAACAACATGAACACGAATCTCAGCCTCAACAAATCAAGCTGTCAGATGCTGGTCCTACTCCAGGGGATACAGCTTATTCCTCCATCTCAAACTTTTTCATTTCTGAGCTTGGTTTGGGAAAGACCCTACAGCCCAGCTGTGTCCTGTGCACAGCTGCAGGGGCAGCACTGCCCCCAGGTGCAGGGCAGGCTATTCCCACCCCCCACAGTTTCAAAGCATGAGTACCTAAGCTCCCAGAAATCATCTGCTGGCTCCTCCTTTTGCCTGGATGTTTGACTGGCTGTGCCAGCTCTAGACGTGACTCCAGCACCATCAGACCCCCTCCATCATCTCCTCCATGTGTCCTCCTGCAGCAGGGATGAACATCTGCTGAATCTTTAGCTTTACAGCATCTGTGGTCAGCTCACTTCTGGCTGCTCACTTCTTTGCAGGGCCTCCCACCCCCACCTTCTCTCACCAGACATCCTTATAGGGAAAAGAGAAAGGTCCTGGATTTGCTCTTCAATACTGCTTCCTCCATCATGGAGATACTGAATGCTAGTATATGCCACAAACCTGCCAATATACAGACTTTATATTTTATAAATAGGTAGAAGTTTCCGACAAATATCCTATAATTTCTGTGGTGTAACATTTTTAAATAGCATTAAAAACACAAACCATCCAGCCCTTGTGATTAAATATACAAACATTTGTGAATTAATAAGGCTCATAGGTACATATGCAAAAATAAAGTGCCCCTCCCCCCACCAAGAAACAGTTCTGTACAGCTAAGTCGGAAAACAGAGCAAGTTATTTAACACAGAACCTCCAAGGCTAGACGTGGCAGCCGTTTCCATCCTTGTTCTCATTTCTGCTTTCAACTTGGCAACACAGGAATATTTACAAGTGGAAGAAGAGATGCCATGGCTGACTCAGCCGACCTACAACCTGCCCAGCCAAGTTCCTCACAGGGCCTTGGTGCTGGCTGGGTGTGCAGCGTGGGACACGGGCTTCTGAGGGTAGTGGCTGTACAAGTAAACCTGCAACAGGATAGCGATGTCCACAAATACCTGCAGGAGTCCACAGATGGAGAACTGGAAAGGGGCCTGATTCAGGATGAAGTAAACAGTCTTGAACGTGTCCCCACTGGTCCACATCAGCACCATCTTGATACTAAAAGACAGAAGAAAGGGAAGAGTGTTTGCTGAGAACTTGGTTTTGGATTAGACCTGCTGTGCCAGAGGATCCCACCTACTGCAGGTAGGATTTATAGCCAGCAGTGGGCTGGGACTCCCTTGGACAGGGGCAGACTAGCCGAGACAGGTAGCACTGCACGGAAAGGGAGGATCAAACTCTCTGCTCCACAAACTGCAGCACTCTTTCTCAGCAAGCAGAGCTCCAAACAACCGTGGCTATGAAGGTATCAAACATTTTAAAATCTCCAGCTAGGATATTTGACTCAGTGGTGCTCTGTAAACATGGCTGCCACATACTGACAGCACTGACCATAGACCAAAGTAAAACAGTGCATGGAAAAGAACAACAATTCATCCCAGCAGTTACTTCTTGTGTGTGCCATTCTGTGCTCATGCAAGGTAAAGTAGCACACAGATTGCTCTCTCATGCATGCATGCTTTTAGCATCTGCTGAAACAAACAAAACAGATAGAAGAAACCACTTCTTACTGCAGAAAATGCCTAACTAAAAAAAGCAGACAGACAGATTGTCTGGTAATAAAGAGGAGAAATTACATGCCTGCAGCTGTTACTGGAAGGATGAACAGCACTAGGGATTTTTATCAAGGACACAGATCAAGAGCAATGTTCAAAGTTCCTTTTAATAACCAAACTTGCTTTTATCTTGCTCTTCTGCTAAGCATTTCCTGTCCTGTAGTCCAGCTCCTGCTCCCCCACATCAGGAGAAACTCTGGGGAATAGAAGCAGTTTCTTCAAACAGACCAAATTATTTTCAGTGTCCTTAACAAAATGTGAACAACCAAACTTGGAAGGCTGTTTCTGAGCTTCATGCACTTTATCAGGAGAGCTTTTTAAGCAGCTGGATAAGCAGCAGTGGACAAAAGCTTTGTAGTTCACAGCATGAGCACAGTGCATGAAAAAGAACTGCACATGATTTGTCATAATTACAAGCAATTTACATTTTGCCAGCACAGACTTCATCACACACAGTCATGCCCATGCAGCAGGGCAGGATTTAATGTTGATTTTTCAAACTCAGGCAGGAGCTCACAGGATTTGTGTTTTGGGCACAAGCACATAATGTCATTGCAAGCCAAATGCTGCAGCCCATTCTTTCCCCACATGGGAAGGGTGGACAAAAGCATCAGTTTGTACAGCCCCATCACACCACAGAAACAGAAGCCTTTTGTAACTTGGGTCATGTGGCCCAGAGCACGAAACAGGTCTACAATCAGGACCTTCCACAGAATCTATGTGGAACTGCAAGCAAAGATATGGGATTAAGTGAGCAGTCATTCCCCACCCAAGGTCATTCTAAAAATGTAAATTAAAAAATCAGAAAAAGAAAAAAACTGCTGAACTCTACACGTCATTTGTGCTTGGTGCAAACAGCCTGCACCACCTGCCCTGTGCATGTTCCCAGTCACACCAAATCACCTTACCTCACACTTACAGGATGTTTATAGATGCAGGTGGTGGTCAAGGAATGATTGAGATTTTAATTAGGAAAGCAATAAACTCTGAGGGTAATAAAACCGGCATCTTGCTTGCTGTCAGTCAGTATTTCTCCTCCTTTGATTTTAAGTGTATTAGTGTTTGCTGGGCAACTGACCACAATTTAATTGTGAATCTGTCCTGGCATGGCTAGGCATCCTCACTAAAAACACATGCTCAACCAGGCTGATCAAACTAACTGCTCACTGTTGACAGAAGGGCAATTCAGAGATACCACGAGATAGCTGAATAGGAATTTAACAAACATCCTTAATACAAAGGATATTTGTCACTCATTCCCAATGGAGAAAGCCAGCGGGTTTTTTTTGAGCAGAGTTAACCTCCTCAAAGAAAGAATAGTCAATCACTGAGGAAAACTTAAGGACACCTGCAGTTCAGCAGCACCACAGGAGCCAAGCAGACCTCTGTGTCACGTGCTGTGCCAGGCTTGCCAAAGCAAGTTTTGCTAGGAAGCAAGTTTGCTAGGAAGCCACCTGTGAACTCAATATTCTGCAACACCAGCTGGAAAACTGGTGCATGTTCTGATAGCCTCTGCACGTTCCACAGCCCACACTCCAGCTCATACATCTGACTCTCAAGGACATCATCATCATGCCTGGAATTCTCACTAGGACATGACAACGCTCCACACACATGAAAATCTCAACTTGTCCTTGACAAAAATGATCTTAAAAATGATACAGGTAGTTTAAAGAGCTAATGCCACTGGTCTGTGTATCAAAAAACATACATACTTTTCTGTCCAGCTTGGACAAAGAACCAGAGACAACCTGCAAATCACCAAGGTACAACGAAAATAAAATACAGAAAATGCTTGATATCCCACAACACTCAGTCCTGCAGCTGCACCAAGGTATTCTCAGGGCTGATGCAAAGACTGTGGAGTGCTGGTTACCCTCCCAGAGGAGACGCTGAGTCTGGACAAAAGGAGCACATCCAGCAGGGACCAAAAGGTGCATGGGATAATCACAAAGAGCTTAGCAAGAAAATGGGAACAGTGTCATGCAAGAGGAGAGAAAAGGCAATGAAGCACCATAGAGGAAAGCAAAGGAGACAGGAGAGGAGCCAAGAGGTTGGTCCTTGATGAGAAGAGGATAGAAAAAAGAGACTGGAACAGAACAGGGAATTATAGGAATGGAAGAGAAATGGAAACTTGGTACACAATTCCTTGAAAATGACCTGAATTTGGGGTAGACAGTTTGTATGGCAAGGTTTTGGTAGCAGGGGCCAGGGAGGCAGGCTACAAAGTGACTTCCGTGAGAAGCTGCCAGAATCTTTCCCTAAGTCCAAGAGAGCTGATGCCAGCTGGCTCCAAGATGCACCTGCCACTGGCAAAGTCTGGGCCCATCAGTGACAGCGGTAGCACTTCTGGGATAACTTATTTAAGAAAGGGGAAAAAACTGCTGCACTACCGAGCAGCCAGTTGAGAGGAGTGAGAACATGTGAGTGGAACAGCCCTGCAGACCCCAAGGTCAGTGCAGAAGGAGGGGGAGGTGATGCCCCAGGCACTGGAACAGAGATTCCCCTGCAGTGAAGACCATGGTGAAGCAGCTGTGCCCCTGCAGCCCACGGGGGTCCATGGGGGAGCACAGATCCACCTGTAGTATTTGAAGGAACCCACCCTGGAGAAGGTGGATGTCCAAAGGAGGTTGTGACTCCATGGGAAGCCTGTGCTGGAGCAGGTCCCTGAGAGGTCCATCGAGAGTGCAGCCCACAGCAGCAAAGCTGGAGCAGCTTTCTGTCAGGACTTGTGACCCCTGGAACAATGGATGGAGCAACCTATCCCTGAAGGACGGCACCCCATGGAAAGGACACATGGGGACCCACCCTGGAGCAGTTCATGAGGAACTGCATACCAAGGGAAGGACCCACACTGAAGAAGTCCATGAAGCACTGTCTCCCTGGCAGGAACCCCAAATGGAGTAGGGAAAGAGCATGAAGAGGACAGAGCAGCAAAAACATGTGATTAATTAATTGACCACAACTCCCATCCCCTGTCCCTCTGTGCCATTTGTAGGAAGAATGTAGAGAAGATAAAATAAAATTGAGCTTGGGAAGAAGGGAGAGGTCCAGGGAAGCTGTTTTAAGATTTGGGTTTATTTCTCATTATTGTACTCTGATTTTGATTGGCAACAAATTAAATTAATTTCCTTGAGTGGAGTCTGTTTTACCTGTGATGGTAACTGGTGAGTGATCTCCCTGTCCTTATCTCGACCCATGAGCCTTCTGTTGTACTTTTCTCTCCCCCTGTCCAGCCAAGGAGCAGGAGCAGTATGAGTGGTAAGCACTTGGCATTAGCCAACATCAATCCACCATGAGGGTAAAGCTAGGGAATGAGCAAAGAGGGGTGTGCTGGCCCAGGACCCTCACCTCACCACTCCAAGCCCCCTGGAATGCCCCCAGCACTCTCTCCAAGTCAGTACATGTCTCACTCCTCCAGTGCCCACTCCAAGGAGAGGAAAAGCTACGACTGCTGTTGGCTCTCTCCCATCTCAACCAGCACCCGTCTGCACACACAGCCTCTGTGTGGCACCTTGGGGGAAACAGAGCTGGCCCTGCCCCCACTACATCACAGGCCTGAGATGGGCTAGATGAAGCTTACCACCATCAACACAACTTCTGTCAAGTCCTAGTTTCCAGATTCTCAGTGCAATAGTAACAGTCCTCTTCCTCCCAGTTTGGGATTTGCTCTGTCCTTGCTGCATATGCAGATGTCACTTGCAATGATGCAGCGGTGGGTGTAGGACTATGAGGGATGCATGGCATGGATACACTGTCACTGTTCTCATACCTTCCAGCTATCCTGTCGCTTCAGGATGCCACATTGTACAGAAAAGCCAGTTTTTGTCTGCAGCTTCTCAACTTTACCCAGTGGCCTGGGGAAGAGAGGTAATTCTTATATTTGATCTTACTTTTGGGGTAGACAAGAAAGACACCATTCTAGCTCAGGCAGATAGCTGCCCCTTACCTGCCCCGGTGGAGAAAAGAGCAGTGTCTGCGAAAAAGGAAGCATTTTACTGCCCAGAAGAAATGGGAATTTTCATTTGGTTGTGGAGAAGAAAGAGCAAAAAGGGGAGAGCACACCAAAGCCCTTGCTTCACTGCTCTACTGTAACCTCGTATGTGCTGAGTGAATCACAGAACCATTAGTTTGGAAAACATCTTTAAGATTACTGAGTTCAACCATTAACCTAAACTCACCCAACCATGTCAAGTCTACCTCTAAACCATGCCCCTAAGTGGTACATCTGCACATCTTTAAAATATCTCCATATTAAGGTGGATGTCAACCAGCACCCCCAGGTCCTTTTCTGCTGAGGACCTCTCCAGCCACTCTTTCCCAAGCCTGTAGCTTGGGCTTGTTGCAACCCAAGTGCAGGATCCGCCATTTGGTCTTGGTGATGCTCCTATAACCATCCTCAGCCCATGGATCTGCACCTTTGCCATGTGCCAAGTGTTGTGG